CTGGAGCCGCGGGTTGCTCCTGCCATTGCCCCTCTGCTCTCCCCACAGCGTTCCGACCCCCGCCTGCTCTCCCAGTTCTTCTTTGCCGATGAGAGGGTGACGCGGGTGGTGGCTGAGATCAACGGGCTGGATGCTGACCTGGACCCGCAGCAGTACCTGGTGCTCCTCAACCAGCTCCACCTCAGCCAGGTACAGGGGCAACCCGGGCCCCGCTGTGACCCCACTCGCCCCGAGCGGCCCCATGTGACGTCCCTGCCCTCCCCAGGCTCACTTGCTGGCCATCCTGGAGCAGATCATGGAGGAGTGCATCCCCATGCAGCGGCACAGCCGTGACTACCTGGTGAAGTTCCCCGAGGAGCTCTTGGTGGGCAACCTGGGGAACCACACGCTCTTTGCCGCCGAGGTGAGGCCAGGCAGGCCATCCCTGGGGCGGGCAGTGGGGTCCTGCTCCCCAAGGCTGGGGGTGATGGGTGCCAGCCAGGATGGCACACCTCACTGTGGCCTGACCCCAGGGATAGGAGCCAGGCTGCCCCAGGCACTGGCTCCTGACACCCGCCCCGGTTCCGGTAGTGTCTCCTGGCTGGGACCTTCCTGGAGGTGGAGGAGGTGGACGCGGCGCAACTGCGGCCCCAGGCCAGGAACCTGCTGTGCAGCCTGGAGCTGGTGCGGACTGTGCTGCGGGAGCAGAGCCTGAGCCAGCCTGGCTCCTACCCAGAGCCCGTCCGGGCTGTGCTCGTCCAGTTCGACAGGCTCTTCGCAGAGTTCGAGCTGAGGTGGGGGCCAGGGTTAGGGTGCTGCGGTGGGGGGCTCTGGGCCAGGGCTGGAGGAGCCTCACAGTCACCCATCCCTCCAGCTATGTGTCCTCACTGGTGGTGGTGAAATCTCCTGAGGAGATCTACAGGCAGCAGGAGATCATCGTGCTCTTCTGTGAGACGGTGGAGAGGTGAGAGGCACCGCGTGCCAGCCGGGGGGAGGCAGGGACCCCAGCCCTGGGGATGGGGTGGTGTCCTGGGGCTTGGCTCCACTGTAATGATTTCCCCTCCCCAGAGCCCTGCGCCTGGGCTACCTGACCCAGGAGATGATCGATGGCTATGAACCACTCCTGCTGTTCACCATCCCTCGCCTGGCCATTATCAGGTGGGTGCAGTCCCCTGGAGAAGGGGGTGATGGGGGAGCGGCTGGGTGCTCCCTGCCCTGTACCAGCCCCTTATCCCTTTGGGGAGTCGGGGTCTGGGGCAGCCCCTTGACACAAACTGGGCTCCGTCTCCTTGCAGTGGCCTCCTCATCTACCCCGAGGGTCCCCTCAGCCTGGAACGGAGCCCTGAGCAGATGTCCCAGGTCTTCAGTCCCTTCTACAACCTCCTGAAGAAGATCAGGTACATGATGGGGGATGATGGGCCTCTGCAGTGGGGCAGCAGTGGGGCTGTGACGTGGGGCTGATGCTGTCCCCTCGCTGCAGGGACCTGCTGAGAGGAGCTCTGCCTGCTGGAGAGGAGCCTGTGCACAGCTGAAACAGAGGACCCCTGTGGTCCAACCACCCCTCCAGCCTGGAGGGCACCCGTGCCCAGAGCAGACTCCCCTGCTCCCTGGGGTCTCCTGGAGGTCCGCCATGCCACCCCAGCACCCCACACCTGCATGACACAGCTGGAAATACCTAGTGCAGTGGATGACCCGGGCACCGATTTGCAGTGGGGGTGTGTGAAGGGGAGAAGGGCCAAGAAGGCAAAAGTCCCCCTGCCCACCACGACGGGGACTTTTAACACCATCCTTGGGGTAACTGCGTGCAGCTCCCAGGTCCCCAGGAGCAGCCCTGGGCTCAATGCCACCCTAGGTGCCCACTGCTTGGAGCTGCGCTCCCGCTACAGCAGCACCAAGGACATGCTGCACACCCTCTTCGTCTGCATCTCAGGTGAGTGGCCCCCTCACCACCCTCCCCTGGCACCCTGATCCCCCACCAGCATCCTGACCCCCCCTCTCCCGGTGCAGGCGTGGCAGATCAACTCCAGACCAATTTTGCCAGTGACCTGCGGAGCATCTTGAAAACAGTCTTCAAGATTGTCACCTCGCAGGCGGAGCCCTCGGAGGAGCCGCGTGCCAGCCGTGAGTAACCCCAGGGACACAAGGGACGGCTCCCGTCTGCCTGGTCCATTGCCTGTCCTTGCTGAGCCAAGGCTGCAGCCCCAGGCATGGGGCCAAGGCCACAGTGCTCAGCCCCATGGGGCTGAGCCCAACCCCAGTTTGGCTGGACCACCACAGCCCTTGTCTCCGCAGAGGAAGAGAACGGTGACCTGTGTACGGCAGATGCTCCTCACGTGGCTGACTG